GGCTCCTGGGTAATCCACACAAAATAGGGTGGTGCCTGGGACTTGCATGGCCACTGTGGAGTCAGTGAAAGTAAGTCTGATTCTGAATTTAGTATGATAACAGGTCCAGGACTTGATGATGGGTTAGATGTGGAAGTGTAGAGACAGAAAACTCAAGAAATGACGTCTGATGTTTTGGTCAGATCCACTGGGAAAATAATTTCCTGATGCCTCCTGAGAAAGAATGGATTGATTTGAACTACCTGTTAGAGCATCCAGGGAGGGTCTCATATCAGCATTGGTTAGATGAGTCTGGGGCTCCTCTGAATTTGGGCCAGAGAAATCTGAGTGATGGTTTTTCCAGCCTGAAGTTAAATAAAATTGCCTGGGAATGAGTGTCACTCTGACAGGGACCAGGGACAGAGCCCAGGTGTTCCAGCACTTACACATCAGTAAGAGGAGGATGATCCAGCAAAGGGGACTGAGGAGTGACCAATGAGACAGGAAGAGAGCCAGGAGACTGGTGAAGGAAGGAGTGGGGCCATCACCTGGTGATGCATTTGACATCAGTGATGGCCCTGTGGGGAAGCAGCTGCAGCCGACATGGGTTCTTTTTTTTTTACATTAAAAAAAAAAAAAAAAGATTTATTTATTTATATAAGCACTGGGTACAGTCAGAAGCGCGGGAGGGTGAGAGATTTCACCAGAGCCAGAGTGGGAAACAGAACAAGGCAGACTGACGAAGTACATTGCTGAGGGGAGCAGCGGGCCGCAGGAGAGGTCTGCGCGCCATGTGGGACCCTCACCCAGTGGCCGGGGATTGAACCAGCGCTGCAGAGTCTACGGGCAGCTTCGCAACCTAGCGCTCAACCACTGCGCCACTGGGGAGGCCCCGACATGGGTTCTTGAGAGAGTGGGAAGCTGGGGTGGGCCAACCAGAACAGACCAGGCTTTTGAGTTTATATGTGAGGAGAAGAGGAGATGGGATGGCAGTAGGAAAGGAATGGTGTGGAGGCAGAGGGAGCTGGTTTGGTTCTTTGTTACATTTACCTGGGAGGTATTTTAGCATGAGAGCAGAAAGAAGGGGTGAGCTTAATGAAGTAAGACCCATAATAACAGAAGACAATGTGTAAGGAAGTGGATATAGATGTGGGGAGCTCAAGAGGTGATGAGAACAATAGCCGCAGAACTTGTAGGAGTTAAGAAACAGCCCAGGTGGAGGAGGGGTGATGGGACAGGCTACATGGGGATGTTCTTTTTTTTTTTTTTTTTTAAATAGAGGCATGTTATTTATTTGTTTGTTTGTTTTGTTTATACATGCACTGGGTACAGTCAGAAGCGCGGGAGGGTGAGAGAATTCAAGCGGGGAGCAGAGCAGGCAGAAGGACCGAAGTACACTGCTGAGGGGAGCAGCGGGTGGCAGGAGAGGTCTGCACGCCATGTGGGACCCTCCTCTGGTGGCCGGGGAGAGGCTGGGGATCGAACCGGCGCTGCAGAGGCCGCGGGCAGCTTCGCAACCCAGCGCTCAACCGCTGCGCCACCGGGGAGGCCCTACATGGGGATGTTCTGCTGTGATGTTTTATTTCATCAGCAGGGTGCTGGGTATGTAACTTACAATTCTTTTACCCTTTCATTCAAATTTTTGTTTAAAAATCATAAATTTTCCCCCAAATCAGCCTATTAAACATAAATGACTAATTTTTCAGTTACAGAGCTGCTTACTTGTGTTTTTATATTGTATAGAAATTAATTCACTTTTCTCAGTGTCCTGCAGAAAAGGCTGGATAAGGCTCCCATGGCAGTTCATGTTGGAATTTAAGAGGACACTTTTAGTAATCCATTTAAAGATCTTGGATGACCCATTCCAAGACTTTCCAAGTTGCTGGTCTGTTGAGTTGCTAGTATTGCACTTTGCTGCCATCTAGTGTCATAAATTTTTCTTGTTGAGTTTTTTGGATGGTTTGAGGGAGGCTCTGAGAAGTTTTTAAAACTTGAATAAAGGAAACTTTATTGTAATTCAGAATACATTATTTGGCTTCATTGGTGGCCTAGGGGTTAAGACTCAGTGCTGTCACCTTTGCGGCCTGGGTCCCATCCCAGGCCAGGGAGTTAACCCACATATGGTGCAGCAGACTTCTCCTGTCTCGCCTGCTTCTCCCCTTAGCAGTAAATCCACCCATCCTGCTCCCCACTCTGTCTCTGGTGAATCTTCTCATCCCCTGCACCTCTGGCCTGTACCCCAGTTCGTGTGTGCATAAACAAATACATCTTTACAAAAATATATAACTTTATCTGCATTTGAATTTTTTAGTGCTTTCTTAATATACTTAGTAATATGAAATTTTCTGCTGATTTTTCTTTTAAACGGTGGAACCAAGAACAGGATCTTTCTAGAATATAACCCTGGATCCTGCACAATCCATTATAAGTCTCATCCATGAGAAACTGATCAGGGTCCTCAGTAATTGTTGGTGATAGTTTCTTGCTAGGGTTAGAGATGTATTTGCCTTGGTTGTGCCCCTTCATCCCCTCATGAAGATGGTGAGTGGCTCTAGTTTGCCAAGCTGGGAACATTAGGGCATTAATGTTCTTAAGCAAAATCCCTTTCTGTTTATTACATTTTATCTTTTAATGGAATTTAGGGAGTGGAATATTTTGGAAAAAAGCTGTTTTAAGAAGCGTGCGTTATAATGAATATGCTTTAGATAACCTTGAAAAGTAACGCACACCCAGTCTGTCATTTCTCTGCCTTCACAGCCAGAGTCACTTGTGAAGAATGTTCATGGTGTGCCAGCAGCTTCTTTGTGTTTAGAACTGGCCAGATACAGCATAGCATAATCCTATTATTGTGTGAGAGTAGTTTTTTCCTTAGATGAACATTGCAAGAAAGGGGTTACACAAATGGATTGAAATTGTTTCTTTGGTAATGTAAATAAACATAAACTACTTATTTTCATATTCATTTTCCAAATGGGCTACCTTATGAAAATCTCATTAGCCACTAGGACTGGAACTTTTTGCTGGGATTTCTCTGGAATAATGTAATTGCATCCAAGTCTTTATTCCCATCAGGTGGGTTAAGCTAGAGAGGGGCACATATATTTAAAAGGGAAAAAAGACGTCCGTTTCTAATTTGGGTGGAGTGTAATTCCAGTGGGAACAAAAGGAGAAAACACTATGTTTGGAAAGAAATAAGACAGTGATGGGGTGGTGGGATGAGGGGGAGGTGGTGTTCACAGGTTGGTCTTGAGGGAGTAGTTAACTACCCTGGCAGAGAGAGAGGCTTTATCACGTTTGGGAGAATCCTACAAGTCCTATAGGTATTGTCACTCTTATGTAGGTCATTCTTATAAAACAAATCGATCTGATCTCCATACTAGTTTAATTCAGTCTCTAAATAGAATTTTTTAAACAAATTGATAGGGGCCTCCCTGGTGTTCGCAGGGGTTAAGTCTCACCACTATCGAGGTAAAACTTCCAGCCACTGCGGCATGAGTTCGATCCCCAGCCAGGGAGCTAACCCACATGGCACAGCAGACCTCTCCTGTCTCGCCTGTTGATCCCCTCAGCAATGTATCTCAGTAGATCTGCCTATTCTGCTTCCTACTGTCTCTAGTGAATCTACCTCCCCACCCCGTACCTCGGGCCTACACCCCAGTTCTTGTATGCATAAATAAATAAAATAAATCTTTAAAACAAAACAAATTGATAAACTGAAGAGGAAAAGCATAGTCCTAGCATTTTCAGCACTGTGGCCTTGGGCAAATTTCTTAACCTTCCTATGCCCCATCCCACATCTGGAAAAGGTTTTTGAAGTAAAATTTTTTGAGGTAACAAGTGTGAAAACTCTTGGCATAGTGCTTGGCATGCTGCTCAGAAGCTCATGGTAGTGATTATTAGCATCAACATTACCCTTTCATATAAAGAACATTGAAACTGGGAACGAAAACAAATTTAGATTCTTGGCATGGCCCTGTAAGTTATATTAGAATAAACTTAGGATTAAATGTGGACAGATGTTGGCAAAGGAATATTGTGTTCTAAAATTTTATTCTGGGAGGAATTTAATAAAATTGTCATCTTTGGTAACAGTTATAAGAACTATATTATGTTCTTTAATTGTTCAAAGAAAACTTTCTCAAGTGACTTATTGATTCAGACATAAAGAAAACCGAAAGCTGTTGGCTTGCTTTTAAGTTTTATTAAATGATTAATTTGGAATTGTTACATCAGTAATCTTTAATCATATGATAAGGAGAAAAGGAAGATTCAATTTCCATAAAACAGCATCCTCCCAAACTTGAGTCCTAAATTAAAAGTCATGAAATAAAGACATTGTAGCATAGGGAAGTGTAACCGGGGAACTCAGCTTTTAAAAGTTTGTACATCAGGGAATTCAGCTTTTAAAAGTTTGTACATCAGTGCACGGGTGAATTTGTTAATTTTCCTGCTGCTCTCCTCTAAATAGACTTACTAACTTTGCAGATTTTCCCGGAATGGCTGGAACGTTCTCCTCACAGTGAACTGTGGGTGGCACAGCACCCTGGGGAAGCTGGCAGCCCTGAGAGTTGTTCCCAGCACTGAACGAGCTTGCCCTCCTTTCCGCCTGTTTTCCTTTTGTTCTCTCACTCAGAGCTGTGCTGGTAGCCTTCGTGACATGCTCTTTCACCGCCTCTAGAACCTAAAGGCAGCAAGTGGCACCATTTCCCTAATTTCCTTGTCATCTCTTGGTCATCCAGAAATTTGTATACTTCTACACTTAGTTTAAATTGTGCATCATTGCAAAATGATTCTCTTTTGGTTTTGTTTTACATGTATCTATAGACAACAAAGATAAACTAATATATAACTTTGAAATAATTTGGTTGGAATTCCTTTCTTGTAAGTTGAAACTCGTTCAGAGATTCTTTGGCAAACTCAAATTTCTATTAAATAATAATTAAGGTCAACAAGACACATCTTAAATGGACAGTTTGTTCACAGAATTCCCTTTTGACACTAAACTGAACTGATTTTTGCAGGGTGATCTAAAAGCTTACCTGCGCAACGAGCACGAGCACCTGAGGGGGGACTCGCAGACAATGCTGCTGCAGCGGATGGCATGTGAGATCGCGGCAGGGCTGGCTGCCATGCACAAGCTGCACTTCCTGCACAGGTGGGTCCCTGGCACAGAGGTGTTCCTCACATGCACTGATGTGCAGCCTAGAGAGGGCTTAGGACAGAGTTTATAAAACTCAAAATGGCTGTGGTATCAGAATAAGGATCGAGTTTGGCTTCATTTTAATCAATGCCAGGGAACAGAATGTTTTAATACAGCGTCTGGTCTGAAAATTTCTTTTAGAATTTTGGAAAATATAAAAAGTGGTACATTCCTCAGAGTTAACAGTCCCAGGCTACTCTGTGACCTCTGTTGGTGCAACCTTTACTTGTCATGTTAGCTTTAGGCTGGTATAGTCATAGGTATCCCCCTGTAACCCAGTTCACATTCCTGAGAGAGGAAAAGGAGATCAAAGGTTAATGGCATCTTTTTGTATGCAGCCTCAGCGTTGGTTTCAGACCAGCACCCTGAGAGGCAGGGGGATGCAGTTGGTTGGGGCCACAGAGGCTGATAGAACATGTATGTGTTAAAACTCTTCAGTTCCCGGGCCTCCCCGGTGGCGCAGTGGTTGAGCGCTGGGTTGCGAAGCTGCCTGCGGCCTCTGCGGCGCTGGTTCGATCCCTGGCTGCTCCCCGGCCACTGGAGGAGGGTCCCACATGGCGTGCAGACCTCTCCTGCCGCCCGCTGCTCCCCTCAGCAGTGTACTTCGGTCCTTCTGCCTGCTCTGCTCCCCGCTCTGGCTCTGGTGAATTCTCTCACCCTCCTGCGCTTCTGACTGTACCCAGTGCATGTATAAACAAACAAACAAACAGATAAATAAAAAACATGCCTCTATAAAAAAAAAAAAATCTTCAGTTCCCAACTGAACAGTGCCAGTATTTTGGAGCACATTGTATTTTGTTGAGAACTTTGAGTCCTGTCTGTGATGATGGTTCAGTGAACCCAGAGGGAGATTTCTGCTTATTTTCTTCTAGCCTTATAGCCCTGGGTATGTTTAAAATATTTCTCAGACTGCCCAAGAAAGTAGGTTTTAATTAAAGTTGGTTTTAATTAAATCACTTAGCTCCTAACAATCTGAAGACCTGAAAAGGAACACTTGTGTGTATTGATGTGCAGGGATGTCTATGAAGTATTTTTTAAAAAACAGGCTACACAGGAATATATTTATAGTATATATTATCCATTTTTTTAAATGAGGAAAAACTTGGTTGTATCTGTAGAGAGGGTGTATGTGTGTGAGAGAGAACAGAGGAAGGGTACCTATGAGATTCTCAGTATTACCTCAAGGTGGAGAAAAAGGAACATTTTTGACATTTTTCTTATACATCTCTATCTTGCTTGACTTGCATAATGAACAAATCATTCTGATAAAGTGCTTTTTAAAAGATGGAGAATTTTAGGTTTCTCAGGCCAAAGGCAGAATTCCTTATGCAAAATTTCAAAATAAGAAGATGTATTTGTTTTTTTATTGGTGTAATCTTATATTTCATATTTAATCTCTTATAATAGGTTAATACACAGTATATTTGTACTGTAAATCTTTTGTAAAACACAGGTGATTATTACCTAGTACTCGGCTTAGGAGTTTTTTAGATTTTGGAGAATGGAGTGTTTAAAAAGAGTATCATGTTAGATTCAGTAGTATAAAGTCATCAGATGCCAGAAATAGTGTTTACTCCCACTGTTTTGACCATTGTATTTTATTTTTTTAATTTAATTTCTAAAGATTTATTTATTTATACAAGCGCTGGGTACAGTCAGAAGCACGGGAGGGTGAGAGAATTCATCAGAGCCAGAGTGAGGAACAGAACAGGCAGACAGACAAAATACACTGCTGAGGGGAGCAGCGGGCGTGTCAGGAGAGGTCTGCGCACCATGTGGAACCCTCGCCGGTGGCCGGGGATCGAACCGGCGCTGCAGAGGCTGCGGGCAGCTTTGCAGCCCAGCGCTCAACCACTGTGCCACCAGGGGAGGCCCTGACCATTGTGTTTTAAAAACTAACAAAGATGTTAGAGTGAATGTTATTTTCCTGTGAACTTCTTTAGGTTAAAGTTTTACTTAAAATCCTGTGAACTTTGAGCAAATAAAGATAAGTCATATGGCTTGAATTTTATTCTGGTACAAAAACTCAAGGTAAGAAAATTCTTGAAGCCAAACGAAACTTGACAACTGTTTCATTATCTTTTAAAAAGTAGCCAGGGCCTCCCTGGTGGCACAGGCTGTTGAGCGCCGCACTGTGAAGCTGTCCGCAGCCTCTCTGGTGTGGGCTAGATCCTGGCCAGCCAGGGAGAAACCCACCTGGCGCAGCAGATCTTTCCTGTCTCACCCGCTGCTCCCCTCAGCAGTGTATTTCGTCAGTCTGTCTGTTCTGTTCCCCCCTCTGTCTCTGGTGAATCCTCTTACCTTCCTGCACATCTGGCCTGTACCCAGGTTCTTGTATAAATAAATAAATCTTTAAAGTAGCCATATTTTATGTAAAATTTCTGTCTAGGACAGAATTTTGTACTTTATTTTGTTGGTCATATGCTGTGTAGTATATTTTTAAGTTGGAATTTAGAATGTATCTTTACTGACTCATTCAGATTTTCTGTGTTGGTTGAAAATAGAACAGCCCACATTGTCCAAATAAAACCTGTTAGCTGTGTATGGAAGCTGACCTAGTAAAGTACCTTCAATTAAATTGTGTTTCCTTATTGTTTAAGAGGGGGCTTACACCTGGGTCTTAGGCAGCCTGCGTTTCTGAGGTTGTACACATGACATTTGTGAAGGCCACGTAAACAGCAGAGACTGCCACTCTTGCGTTCCTGCCATGCTGGCCAAAAGCCTGGGACTTCCTGTCCCCAGCCTGTCACTCTTCCTGAGCAGCCCCAGTGTACTGCTACCAGGTCACTGCAGTGAACTAAGTGCAAAGGAGAGCTGTGGACAGTGTGGGCCTAGTGGAGGTAGCTGGAGACTTGTGGCAGTGGCTTTGAGGAAAATCTGGGAGCCAGTTGTGCACAAAAGAACCTCTTGAGGATTCATTCACCCAATTTCACCCAATTTTAAAGTTAAAGTTACCCTCTGCCTGAAACATTGAGGTTACTAAGTTACCCAGTGCACAAAGTATCTAGTATTACAGGAGCTTGGTAAATAGCAGGTGCCATTTTGCATTATTTTCTTCTTAAATAGTGCCTCAGGTATCCACATTGTAAAGTGTAGAGTGTCTTGCTGCTAACTGACTTGTGCTGCACCTCTAGCTTGAGTGTTTCTTATAGTCAGAAAAAGTGTGTAACTTTACGTAAGTGTAAAATCTTTAGATTGTATATTTTAAAAATCCTTCTAATGTTTTCTATTTGAAAATTGGTCTGTAAAGAAAAGAATTTTGTATGCTAATAATTTTTTGGTCATTTCAAAACAAAGCCACAGATAGCATCTGGCACATGCTGGTATTAAGTGAAAAAAAAAAAAAAAAAAAAAAGACCACAGTACCTACATCATTTTGATTTCATGATGAAAATCTAAGAATTTTCCTTAGACTTTGGAATTCGAATCCTAAAATTCTGCAAACACTTAATATGTGTAATGGAGAAGAAAGATGAGCATCTGTCATGATTACTCACCGGGTCTAGCTCTTGTTCTTCAGTAGTAAAATCTCCATAATAGTGCTAAATTCTTAATATGTGGATTTAATGACATCCTAAAGCTTGTATTATAGTGTCTGACGCAGTACAAGTAGGGGAGAAAGGAGAAGCAGAAAAAATAACTTTGATCAATGGGGCTGGCCTTGTTTTTTAGAGTTTCCAGTTTCCTTACCCTTTTTTGCATTTGCTTTGATATTTAATAAAGACAATTTAAAATTAATTGATTAAATCTTCAAAGTCAAATGCTCTAAATAGATGAGGTGAGGGAAGATACGTATTTTATTTATTTATTTTTTTCCTAAAGATTTCTGCATCTATGCATACAAGAGCTGGGGCGCAGGCCAGAGGTGGAGGGGTGGGGTGAGAAGGTTCACCAGAGACAGAGCGGGGAACAGAACAGGCAGACTGACTGAAATACACTGCTGAGGGGAGCAGCGGGGGTGTCAGGAGAGGTCCGCTGCTCCCTGTGGGTTGCTCCCTGGCCTGGTGGAGATGAAACTTGTGCTACAGAGGCTGCGGATAGCTTCACAGGTTGCGTCCCAACCCCTTGTGCCACGAGGGAGGCCCAAGATACGTATTTTAAATCAAAGCAAGGTTTTGCTAACTAACGCTCTTGCTGGAGAGTTAAAACATGTATTCACATTAGGCAGCATCATCAGTGTGTTCCAGGCTTTGCAAAGCTCTCTGTGAAGAGTTATCTAATCCTGAGAACAGCCTAAGAGCCTGAGGCAGGTGCCACATTATAAATTGCATTTTACAGAGGAAGGTATTGATGGTCAAAATGGTGAGCAGTTTGTCTACTTTAGCCACTAACTTCACGAGTAGTTTAAACTTGACTCTTGAGCCTCTTGGAGCTGGTTGCTATCTACACAATACTTAAAAACAATTCCTGGCACACAGAAACCATTCAGTACATTTTAACTTTTATTTTTATTTTTATTTTTATTTTATTATTTTTTTTTTAATAGAGGCATGCTTTATTTGTTTGCTGGTTTGTTTGTTTGTTTTGTTTATACATGCACTGGGTACAGTCAGAAGCGCGGGAGGGTGAGAGAATTCACCAGAGCCAGAGCAGGGAGCAGAGCAGGCAGAAGGACCGAAGTACACTGCTGAGGGGAGCAGCGGGCGGCAGGAGAGGTCTGCGCGCCATGTGGGACCCTCCTCCGGTGGCCGGGGAGCAGCCGGGGATCGAACCGGCGCCGCAGAGGCCGCGGGCAGCTTCGCAACCCAGCGCTCAACCGCTGCGCCACCGGGGAGGCCTTAACTTTTATTTTTAAATGAATAATTTTCTAGTTTGTTTGTATTCACTAGTGCTCTACAAGACAAGGCAAGCCTCATTTTTCTTGCTTCTCATTTCTTTCCGGTTTGTTCTGGGCCAGACACTGTAATACAAGCTATAGGATTTCATTAAATGAATACATTTAAGAATGCAACAAT